AAAAATATTTTATATATTTTAAAATTTTAAAAATTTTAAAAATTTATCATTGCAATTACAAATAGTGTTGTTAATTAAGTCTAAAAAATTTAGATAAATCATTATTACAAGTTTATATCAAAATCTAAATAAAGTATTATATATAAAAGTACATTATACAATTTAAATCTCTTTACATTTAATGACTCCAATTTATAATTTAATATAATTTAAATTATAAAAATAAAGGAGTCATCCTATAATACATCCACTAATTAATTTTCCAATAAGTCTTGTTAAGAGTGAATTAGATGCTAAAACTTAGGAAATGTTCCCTTTTCTTTGTTTTTTTCCAGAGTAAGACTTAAGAGGAATTTTTATTAGTTATTAATAACTTATAGAGTTAAGTTTATTGTTAAATAAATATTATTTTTTAAATTAAATTTATGATTTAAAATGTTTTAATTAACAAATTAATTGCTTAAAACTCTCATTAAAAAAAGATAACAAAAAAAAAAAAAGAATTTTAACTTTAATCATACAAGTTAAAAAATGCCTTTATACCAATTATTTTTCTTTTTTGGTATCCTTTATACCATTTATGGTTTAAATTTTAGAGACTGCATCGAAGTTAATTTGAAAATGAATAAAAGTTCAGATACGAACAAATAGAGATTAGAAAGTCCACTATTACAACAAAGTGAGCTTTTAAAAAACAAAAAAAGTTAAAACAGATGGGTCCACTGTCCGTTCACAATCCGACAAGTTCTCACATGCGAAGAAGAAAAATGAATTTTTACCAAAAAAAAAAAAAAAAAGGATTTCACTTTCTTCACGTCGTACCAATGGTTTTTTTTCTTTTATATTGATTTTTTGATATTTAATAATTTTATTAAATATTAATTATTTTAAAATTAAATTACGTTAAATTTTATTTAAAAAATTAATATTTATTTTTTATTTATAAAATTTAAATTTAAAATTTTATTTTAAAAAAATCAAAATCTTTCACGTTGTGGATGCATCAATGGTTTTTTTTTTTATTGGTTTTTCGTATGGTATCTGAGGCTTCGTCCGATTAATCTGATTTGACTTGCATCGCGTACTTAAAAATGATAAGTGAGTCTCCCAACAAAAATTATTATATATATCATGTTTTAAATTAAAAATTTTATTTAAACTAAAATAAATTGTTTACCATTTTATCTAACCTTAGTTGGTTGGTGATACATCAATGGTTTCTGCTGCTCTCAAAACCGCGTCCTTGCACGAACCCCAAAAGGACGATCCCCGCGTCCTTGCACGATCGCCAAAAGGACGATCTTCTGCCCCTTTTTGATTTTTGTAAAAGGAGAAGAAAAACTTCGAAAACCGAAAAACAATTAAACTCGTCCTTGTTAATGGGAGTCTCAGCGTC